CCTCCCTCCCCCAGCACGACAGCTCATAGTAACACTACTTTCCAGATACCCAGAGTTCATAAAAAAAAAAAAAGAAGAAATGTAACTACCCCCTGTACACATCACCTAGGGATAGATTTTTGGCTGGGAGCATGGAAGACGTGTTGCAGAACTGCTGTCAACAGGCAGCAGCAGATGTTGCACACTGAATTCCCCTCTTTCCATGTTGAAAATATGTTGTTCGTGCTCCAGAGACTCCAGCTCTGGGTAAGACAAGCTGGGGCCATAGTCTCATCTCACTTCTGCCAGAGTATAAAACCCACAGTGCTGCTGCAATCATTCCTTAGCACTTTAGACATCTGTGAAGGGACACCTAAGCCCCCGAACTGCAAAGAAAACAGTAGCGAGATGAGTTTTCAGAGATAACCCCAAAAGAAGAACTTACATTGTCTAGGAGATATGAAATACTGATTTTAGCTCTGCTCAAGTCACAGCTCTGTTTGCGGGATGTTCTGAGTGAGATCCTTCTTTTTCTCTACTCTTTTTTCCCTATGTATGCAACAGGGACCAGGATATTGACTTCTGAAAACACTTGCATGCCAAAGATGCAAAAATGTGGGCATTATCAGACAGGCAGAAGGATAAAAAAACTACCCAGTAATACTGGGTCAGAGTCCTGGACAATCTTACTCATTATTCGTTTTCCCACAATGGGCAGTGCCCAGTACTTTAGAGGAAGATGCAAGAAGTCTGGTGATGAACAGATGGGAAAAATGTATTAATGGATGACTATGGTATAAAATTATGAATGTTCATATCTCTTAACAAATACTGATTCTATGATAACAGCTGATGACTTTTCCTCCAATTAAAATCTCCGTCATACTTTTGGTTGTATGATGACTGCAATCCTGTGCAATAATTTTTGGTTTTGTTCTGTAGTGTAATTACACTTTGTATAAGAAAAAAGAACTTATTTTCTTTTAAACAAGCCATTTTTTCAGTTCATTGAATAGATTATGACTTCTGTATTAGAGATATTTTGCTTTCTTTATATCATGCTTTTTTTTATAGCTGTATCACATAGTCTTCCAGTTATGTCCTACCTGTAATTAATCTCCCCAACTTTTTTGATTCTTTCACTCTACATGCCTGTTTTTCTGCGCTTTTTCATCTCAGAACAGAGTTACAAAGATGTCTCCACATCACACCAGTGAAGATGCGATGGCATATCAAAGAGCCACCCGTGCAATGAAACCCTTGTGACTAACATTTCTGATGTAGTTCCTGACTTCGACAGAATACACAATTTCTCCCCCCAGATGATACTGAGCCATTTTCCTCCTTGGGGTTTGTGTTTCCATTTCAATTCCCTTGTTGCTATAGAATTTTAAAGCAACTTCTAAGGGTGCTTGTTTTGGAGCAGACAGGGTGAAAGCATTCAAAGAAGCAGTTCTTTGATGTTCAGGCACAGGCAAGTGCTGCTGCCTACCTGTGTGCAGCCCGATTCGTATCCTGAGGGGGATGTCTGGCATGTGTCTCATTTTGAACGTTCCCACCGAGCTGAGGATGTCCAGGGACATGTTGGCTATCTCAGCCGCATGTTTGTTTCCATTCCGTTTTGGGAGCCCTGAGGCAACCATGTAGGCATCGCCAATTGTCTCCACCTGGCAAATACCATGGCATTAATGAATAAATAAATAATTTGAAAAAAAATGGGAAAGAGCAGTGGAATAAAACAAGAGTGTTCAACCCAGGCATGGCTTGATCCTCACGCCCAGGTATTCCTCACCTTGTAAACATCATGGTTTCCAAGAACAGCATCAAACAGTGTGTAAAGATCATTCAGAAGGTCAACTACTTCAATGGGTTCACTGAGGGCTGAAATCGTTGTGAAGCCCACGATGTCACTGAAGTAGATGGTCACCTGGTCAAAATACTCTGGCTCCACAGTGCCACCAGTCTTGAGGGCTTCTGCCACTGATCTGAAATAACAACACAGGCAAAGATGACAGGGCACAAACACCTGTTGTAGGGCATGCCTAAGAGCTCAGAAACTCTTGTCCTACTGTGCTCAAAAGATGAAAAGCATTGATGAAAGTCTCTTACTTTGATTGGAAGGTGCTTGCCACAGAGGTCAGCTCTGTGAAACTCTTTTGTCCAGTCTAGCTATGGAGTGCCAAGGGGCTTTGTTACCATCTGAAGTACTAGTACTTACGGGGGGAGCATTTGTGACAGTAGTTTTTCTGTCTTCTGTTTTTCAATCTCTAGCTCTTCGGTCCGCTCCCTGATTAAATCTTCCAGGTTGCTTGAATATTGCTCAAGCATCCTGAGCATCGAGTCAATGATATTGGTCTTTTTCCCTTTGTTGATGGTTTTGAACTGGAAAATCAAACTAGAGAGTTATTTCTCCATCTCATTACAACATTGTAGCGCTCTAAGTTTGGAAAGGAACAAAAAGCACTTATTTTTATGGGACAATGCTAAAGACTGGCTTTGTCAGTGGCAAGACAGCAACAATAAAGGCAAACCAGAGAGCAAATTTGCATCACTGACTATGGAAGCTGCCCAGGAGCATGCTGCTCCTCTATGAACTTTCAGTGAGGGTAAAGTGAGACACCACCTTTCATGAGTTGGTAATGTGTATGTGAGATTTTATGAAGTCTTACCATGCTGCAAATTTGCACCCTCATTTATCCCATGACTAACCTTTAGGGTAACTTGTAGCCCTTTGCATTCAGAGGTGCAAATTTCAGGGCATTAGCAACACTTACAACCTGCTTATGTATTACTGGTCTTAAATCCACCTTTGCATACTGGCATGTATGTCTACTGCCACCCCCCATCCCCAACTCCTCACTGAGCTATGCTTTCTCCTCTTGAGCCATTTGGATAATCTATGACTTCAGAAGCTGCCTTAGACACAACAGTGGAGTCACATGGGTGTAAAATTATTCAAAGTTTCATAGAACCGGAAGGTAAAAATTATGGATATTTGTTCACCTGATTTGACCTTAAAAGTACATAGAAACAGTACTGCTGGATCAGGCAAGGGGTTTATTTTGCCAGTCCATGAGACTGGCCAGTAGCAGATGTCTGGGAAAGCTGTTCAAACAGTGCTCAGGTACATTCATATTTCCCTGGGATATGCTCCCAGCCTTCACCAATCTGCAGTTCAGAGACCTCATATGCCAAACGTAGTATCTTTGTTTAACAGCCTTTGGTGAATTTTACTTTTAAATTAAGCATCTTTTAAATACTCTAGAAAATCAAAAAACATGTTGATCTGAAGGTGCTAGCATAATTTACAGAACTTTGATCTCCCTGAGACCATCTGTGTAGGTACATTGCAAATGTGAAGATACCAAGCCCATGTCCAGCCTGCTTCACACCCCACCTGGTGGTGCCATGGCGGCTCAAATTTAGGACAAGGTGTAAGCCAGACACCACGAACCATAAAATAACCCAACAGCAAAAGCAAGACTAGAGCTCTGGGACTTCTTCAATCATTATTTAAGGGCTGACTTAAAGAAAAAAAATACAATTTCCTGCCAAGTACAAACAAAGTATTATTTCACCTGCTGCTCTATTCACCGACCTTATGAAATACCTCCTCAAAGGTTGGACGTCGTTCGGGGGATTCACCCCAGCATTGCTTCATTACCTGGATGCACTCCAGGGGGGCCAACTCGGGGGCTACGTTTGGGCGGCACAGAGGAGGGGGCTTCTTCACTTTCTTTATAATTTCTGTGACAAAGAGAAGAATGGGAAGCACGCTGTGAGATGGAGAGTCTTGGTGGGGGCAAAGGACATGGACCTTTTCACCTGTCCCTTGCTCACTCCTTCAGCCACCACTGTTATTCCTCACCACTCAATGGCTGTGTCAAATGAAACTGGAGGTTTCTGCTTTCCTCTACCAGGAGTCTCATGGAGGAATTAAACCATAAGAGATTCATTTGCCTTTTTGTCCCTGGAGAAGCAGGTCATGAGCAATAAAGTGGCTGGATGGGGGAAGGTTGTGTGACAGATGGATGTGTTAGCCTGCAGGCTTGTATTTAATGAAATTGCCTCTGACTGTCTCCATCAGGATCTGCGGTCCTCTAAGAAAGCAGAGGGTTATGTCCGAGCCCAGGCAGCCCAGCTCTGATGCTTCATCTTTAACTGGAAATCAGTACGTAGGAGGTTGATGGGAACAGAGACAATGCAAAGCATTTTAAAGGGGAGAGTCTGGGTTCAAAACAACGTCTGGGAAATGACTCCCTATCCAGAGGTGAAATAAGACTAATAAGGAACTACGCTTGGGCTTTCAGACCCTGAGAATTCAGTCATTGAATCTACGGGTTTTAGATAAAACAGCCTTACAGCAAAGGAGTGGAGCTGCAGGTTTCATTGACAGCTGAAGTACGGATGGATGTCTGAACCCAACCCCAACCTCAGTTTAGGTATTTCTTAGTGTGAATATCCTGGAGGAAATGGCGTTTTTTTGTAAGATAGAAATATATCTTCCCACTTAAAAACAAAACAAAACACAATGTGATTGTCTTTGAAGGTTTCATCTTGCGTAGTGCAATGGAGTCATCTGGAGTGAAACCCACCCTCTTTCTGGCAGAAGCCCCACATTTCCACAGCTGTTACTGTGAGTATCCAAAGCTTTTCAGTGTTGACAGTTTACTTTAAAGCTCTTTGGCTTATCCCACCCGTCTCCGCCAAATGAACTAAGCAAAGCACCTGGCCTAAATATTTCCAGGGGCAGCCAACGGGAAATGCCTTCCCCAGATGGTTTTAAAGTTCACGCCATGAGTGAGACCTCCTTGAGAATTAGGATGCAATGAGTAGAAATTCATCATTTTATCAGGTCAGGAAACTGGAGTGTACTACGTGCAACATTTGCTGGAGGTTCCCCATGGGGACTAGGTGGGGGGACACCTGCTAATTACATCATAGGCTACATCATAGGTCCAGGTCTGAATTACAGAGCACGTTACACCATAATCATTATTGTCATTGCATTGTTGCAGCAGGTTAGGATGGGCCAGGGTCCCATGTTTCCAGGCGCTGAACAGGCAGATACTGAATGGCCATATGCCACTCAGTGACGGTCCAGCTTAAAACATGTTGAGAATAGGCTTTCACTGAAGTAATTTTTTTTTTGATTGTTCTCACCTTCTCCTTGTTCAAGTGCTTGTGACCTTTCCAGGACTGCAATGTGTTTGCTCTGCCTATGCATGGACAACACAGTTTGAACTAATGAGAGTTGCACCATGAGCAGTTCCTAAAGAGTTCAGCTATCTGCTATTTCTGATACAAGCCACCTTATATATGTCAGCAGGGTCATGATGTATCACTTTGATCTCTGCTGCAGATAGAACCTCTTTAAACAGGGAAGCAATTGGGGAAAATAGATGGGCAGAGGGACAAAATAGGACATTAGCAAGGAATCCACTTCAAAAACCTCAAACCCCATGCCATATAGAAAAGGGCCAAAGAGTGAGAAGCAAAGGAGTTTTCAAGCTATGGGAAATTATGCCATCAGATTTCACCCCACACTATGAAGAAAAGTCAATATTTGGACAGGGAACTGGAGGTGCTGCAGTGGCCTGACTGCTGGACAGCTCTGAAGCATCTTGAGTGAAACCCAGAACTCCAATCCCATTGATAGTGACGAGTCACATACCAAGGCTGACATCAGAACTACATATTTTGATGTTTATTATGGATGTTTTGTTGAAAACAGCCTTTTGTCACTAAGAAAGGTTGTGAAATTGGGACATTATTTCCACACTAATGTTTTACCCAAGGGGCTTGGCCAGATCTTTTATGAGCACTGTGTAAAGCCTTAAAAATGTACTGAAATAGTCGCTTACCTTCAGCTGAGAATTCTGACATGCAGTATGGTGGACCCCGAACAACCACTTCTTGGAGGATGATTGCAAAGCTGTAAATATCCCCTTTGAATGTGCCTTTTCTGCACATGTCCGGGTCCCTCAGTAACTCAGGAGCTGTCCAGAGCAATTCTATAAAATTCAAGAGCATCATGTTTCTTACACTTGAACTCAGACTATGTCAAATTAAGTGCTTAAACGAACACTTCAGTTATTTGAGGAAAGGTTGGAACATACTTCATTATTTACTGGATCATGTCTTCTATTTGTTGTGATGTGTTAGAAATATTAAACTTTCATCCTCACAAAAAATTTGAATTTTCCAAATTTCACTCCACCTTTAAAAAAAATTGCTATACCAACAATTTGCATGCTAAAACACCAGTTTTGAAGATCTACGTAAGAAGTCTTCTTACCATTGCCAAAAGCATGAATACTTTTTTTTGGTTTGAAAATATCACTCAGATAAAATGTTCATGCTGAAGTCTGGATTTCTTGTTACTGTTGTTGCTCTTTTACAAAGCAATAGTTAATAAAATATTTTCCATCGTTCTTAGATGAAAGTAGTTTCCATAAAAGCAGTTTGTGGCAGTCTGAAGTATGATCCATCTTCATAATCCAATAGTTCAAGTGATGAAAGACACAGTTGTAAAACATACCCAGCCTCATCAAGAAATTAAGTTTCTTCAAACTGGGAACTGTGCGTTCTGGGTAATGGGAATAAGGAACATTTCAGCTACTACTATATATATA